AAGCTTAAAATGGTTCAATAGTTGGCCACAGAGCATTGTCTAAAAGTGGACTTTTGCAATCTTCATCCCACGGTCTGAAGATATGCTTTTAGGCTAATGATGATCCTAAATTGGTCGTGGTGTGAATTTGAGCATGAGCCCCACAGCAAACTGACTATCTGTCAGGTCTCCAGCCCTCCAGACCCTGAACTGGATAAGTGGAATAGAAGGCCTTTAGAAATACTTTACAGGCTTTTCCAGCTCATTAAATCTCTGTAATTTATCTTTTGAACATTGTTGAGATTGAAGTATAATTCAAACCGAGTAATCTCTCGAGGATAACTTTATTTAAAAAAAAACAAATTACAACCCTTACTTCAAATGTCATTTTCTTAATTGGAGCACATGAGTCAAAGGGAAGTCGTTAGCACAACTTTTTCCAGCTTGAACTGTTGATAACTACCTAGTTTTACTATTGAATACATGAATATAGCTTTTATGCATTATTTTGTTTGTTACCATTTTTATGACCTGCAAGTTCAATTCTGTGTACTTTCAAAGGGTTCACTTGTATTTAGCTGCAGTTTTACTTTTTAGTCTTTGAGGTTTATTAGCTGATGTAGTAATAAAGTTTTATTTACAAGTGCACTGAATTAGCTTTTTACTGAGTCTCTTTTTACACTTGTCATCTGAAAGGCTGCCATATAAAGCCAGGTGTAAGCTTTAAGTTTACCATATCTCTTTCCTTCTTCATATTTCTTTTTAGCCTATTTCCTGGGAATGATACTGACATTCATCGTGATGTTGCTGTCAGGAATGGGACAGCCTGCTCTGCTCTACTTAGTGCCCTTCACTGTGATAACTTCTGCTGTGGTGGCAGGCTGCAGGGGGGAGATGAAGCAGTTCTGGGCTGGAACCACATACCAGGTGAGAGGAGGAGAGGGAGAATTGTATTGGTGTTTTTCTATTATTCCAAAAAACGTCATTCCTCTTGTAGCTGTCATATTTGACTGTCAATACCGGTTCATTAAAGAAAAAAAACTGTCAACATTTTGCTCTTTTTAAATCCAGAGGACAGAATAAGAAGTGTAGTCACAGACTACGTGATTATTAATAATTTACCTTACTGTTATGGAAATCCTGACATGCTTTAGTTGTAGGCTGTCTTTGTTTACCATAATGAAATGACAATCCATTAAAAAAGGAGGAAAAGGGAGAGAAGATCACTTGTTAGTTTTCCTATGTGTTCCTGTGTTAGCTGGAGCTCTTGGAAGAAAACTTGACTATTTGCTTGCTGGATTCTTGCAGAGCGAGTTTTTCTTGACTGGTAGCTGTTTTAAAACAAACAGAAAAATCTTGTTTGCTGTCAGCTTCCATAGCGTGCATCATTTCTAATTTGCCTGTCAGCGGTTCATATACAAGTCAGCTGTGAAAAAACTCACCTCACCTGACACAGCAGGCTGTTCAAAAAAAGTGCTTATATTATATTGAATTGCATGCTGGCCTCAAAGAATGCTGTTTATTCCAGGCTATTTTCCCTGTTGTCTAACTGTTTCCTGACCTTAAAAATATGTGACCCCCGTTGTGACTGAGAATGGTTTTAACTGGAACGGCTGCTGGCTTAAATGATGGCAAATGTGAAAACAATGATGATTATCTTTGCATGGATTTCTGTAAACTCTGACCTAATATACAATCCAAAAAACATGCATATTAGGTTAAATCTAAGTTGGGCATATTTGTAGATATGACTGTAAATGTTTGTCTGTCCTTATGTTTTAGCCTTGTGATAGACCTCTCCAAGCTGTTCCCTGTCCCTGACCATGAACAGCCTCCAACCATTTGGTGACCCTGAATTGGAAAAGCAACTAGAAAATGGACATGATGTCTATAAATTCTGTTTTCCAGACATGTCACTTGGAAATTTGCGGAATACTGTAGCAGTGTTATTCAGCTACCTCTCCTGTTAATCTCGGTGATATTAGACTAGATAAACCACATGTCCAGCAGTTCTGATCCAACTTTAAGGTTAATTCTGACTAAAATCTGTAACAGCTGGAGATAGTGTACCAAGCAAAAAAGTATTTAAAATATACTGAGAAATACATAATGAACAGAGAATTAAAAAGAATGACAGTAGAATCAAAATTAATGAAATGTTGGAGTGCAAGAATAAATTAAGCCTGCTTTTGAAGGAACAGAAGAAATACACCAGTTAAACTGGAAAGGATAATGAAACCAAGTGTGTTTTTAGTTGAGATTTGAGTACTTAATGAGGTTGACTCCTTGGTCTTAAATGGATCGATTTTACAGTGAAAACCAGTCTCCTTCTTTGAACTATTAAAAGCTGTTGATCAACTGACCCAAGCATATGGCATGGCGCATAAAATGATAACAAATCTGATAGATAAGCCGATTGTAGCTTATCTAAGCTGATTGTTGCTTATAAGATGATTGTTGCTTGTGATAGACGGGACCATGCAATCACTAAATATAGAAGCAACTCAGCAGGGTTCAAGGATGTTAGGAACTGGTTTTATCGTTTGTTTAATGTTTGAGCTTGTTAAATCAAAAGAATAAAACCAAGCATCTAAACTATGCCTTTAGTTCTGAGATTGCTTTTATGATACAAAGACAGCCATCCGTCAAAACTATAACTTGAAATTTATTTCTCACACGAGAGAGGCTTATTATGTTTGAAAGGTTTAGGGAAATCCATGCAGCCAATATGAAAATATCTGTGGTTCACACATTTGCCATCCAGACATTCAAAGTCATCACAAAACATTAAACTTGTAACACTCTGGCAAGGCTGGGTGAATGTGTGTGCGTGTGTGTGTGTGTGTACGTATGTCCATGAGAGTGAGACACGCACAAACTGTAAAAGAGAGACAATTCTGACCTGGCTTCATTTTCACCAGGTCTTGGACTCATCCAGGGAACCTTTGCTGCCAGGTGTGCTTCCCTCCAAACCCCAGACCTCTCCCCTGCAACGCTCCTGTCATTAATGTCACTTACTGCAGTGCCTTATTGTCTCTTATCAGCTTCTTTATCACCCTTTGTTTTGACATTTTAACTCCTGATTTCCAGGGTCAGTTTGATATTTAGAGACAAACTACATATTAACTGTTTTAAAATTCAAATAAATTTTAGGACAGAAGTTTGAATGTGAAATAATACATCATTTTAGCCATTAGGTGTCTCCAGTTGACTGAAAATAATCTTTGATGTGTCTAAAGTGACTCGCAGCGATATGATAAAGTGGACTTGTCTAAAAGCTTTGGCCCTGGAATGACATTAACTTATTTCCTTTTTTTTTAGTTTTTTGTTTGTTTGTTTTTGTCCTTTTTTGTTTCCTTTTCCACTCTCTGCTCATTCCAGCTTTTTTTCAATGGAGAGGATTCAATAACTGCCCCATCCTTCATGCAGTTCCCAATGTGTTCATGTTGCCCTTTGCATGATTTTGCTTGCAGTTGACATGGGAGAGCTGTGGCATGAATTTTTGAATGCATTATCTCTGTTGTTTGTTATTAGTAGAACAAATCATATATGCAGCTTGCATTATAAATTCAAATGCTGCCTATGAGTCTGCCTTTCTTACTAAACTAAAAGATTAAAGTAAACATTAACATGTCTTTCCTTTTCTTTAGAGAAAAGAACTGACCGATCCGTAGACGGCGAAAGATGCTGACTTACAGTGTTGAATATGGACTCTCTTCTTTGTCTTTTTTAAAATCTCAATTTAATATTACATTTGCAAAGCAAGGGAACACGTTATTGATCAAATGATCCTTCAAGCAGTACATTTTGATTGATGTGAAAGGGAAATGAATGCTGTGTAGATGCAACTGAGATATTAAAGTGATTAAAAACACGTGCTTTGCGCCTGAAAGTTCTGTCAGGTTCACTTTGAGAAAAACATAATGACAACTTTGCCTTGGTGATGATTGAGAACAAGAACGCACTTTATAATATTCAGCTTGGCAGTTGATACATCATTGGGGATGGGTTTGGGCTTTAAATGACTTGTAGCTATTTTGATAACTAGGGTTTGTGTGTAACCTGTTTGTAAGATGTGATTTCTTTCGTTGCCTTATATTAAATAAAAAAACAAATTGTATTTCATGTTCTTGTCTGTAGCTTTCTGATTTTTAATTTGTGACTTTTAAGTGAACAAAGTCGTCCTATAGATGAAGTGCACAACAACCCCAGTTCTGTGTGCGTTTTTGTGTGTTAAATTCTTTAACAAGAATTTTAGCATATTCTTGTTAAAATGTAAGTTGCTGTTGTGGGGGAAAAAAATAAGCCAGTATATATTTCACAGGTTTTTCCCACCTTTAATATGACCTATAACCTGTACATTTCACACAGTACTTGGGTTGTTGTTCTGAAAGGTAAAATTGCTCTTCCACGTCAGATTTTTAGCAAACGCCAGATGATTAGAGACATGAGTAAAACATAAAAAACAAACATAAAATTCTAGTAGTTTTTTTTTTTTACTGTAAAAACCACAGACGTGTTGAGTAAATTATTTTTATAACTTTAAATGCTAAAATAAATTGTACATTTTGAAAACTTGCACACATTTTGTAAACATATACAACTATTTATCAAAAAATGCAGCCAATACACCTGGTGTTTTTTTTTTTTATTTTATTTTGTACAACCATTTAAAAATATTACTATAATGAAAATGAGAGAACAATCAGGTGTCTTAATAAGATGCCCCACAAATTATTTGTGCCAGTAAAAAAAAAAAAGTTTGTCTGCCACAAGACAGAGGAGAACACCACAGCGATAAACCTGCAGGCCTGACAACAGGAGGTGTATCACTCCTCTTTTCCACCTGGAGACAGCGTTTGCATTGCAATCTGCCTTTGTAAATGGTAAATGGACTGATTCTTATATAGCGCTTTTCTACTCTCCTGGAGTACTCAAAGCAAGTACAACATTCCACATTCACCCAGTCACACATGCACTTTCTTCTAGACTTCTGCGTGCTTCCTAACTACATTCATACACATTCACACTCCGATGTTGCATCAGAGAGCAACTTGGGGTTAGTATCTTGTACCCCGCCTCTCGCCCTATGACAGCTGGGATAGGCTCCAGCGCCCCCCGCGACCCTGAAAAGGATAAGCGGAAGCGAATGGATGGATGGATCTTGCCCAAGGATACTTGACATACAGACTGGAGGAGCCAGGGATCGAACCACTAACCTTCCGATCAGTAGGTTAGTGGTTTGTGACAGTCATTAGTGCCCTCACTGACACACAAAACAAAACAACGACTACATAACAGACTAACTACACACTCCACGCTAAACCTCACAAATCTCTCACATCTCAAAACTCACTATCGATATCTCTCTCTCTCTCTTTCACTTGCTCGCTCTGTCTCTCTGCCATCACTCCCAAAACTTTCCCCTATTCCTAAACAACCAAATCCCACATGTTGATTTTTTTTTTTTAATTGGTTGACATGCTACATTTTTCCACCAATAGGAAAGAGGTGGCTATTTTTTTCTTTAGTGTTTTTGTGCTGTCCTTAGAAAATGCTTTAAAAAAAACCCCAAAACACACAAAATGTGACAATAGTGTTTAGAAAAAAGGCTTATATATTTTTTTTTAATCTTAACTCTGGATTTAGTGGTCTGTCATTAAAATTTAAAAACCGGTGTATACTTTGAAGTCTGAACTTTCAACACAGGCTGAAATAGAGACTCAGCGTGGCTGCAGCTTATTGGAGCTTAGTCATCTTAAATCAGTTATGTGATTTGGAGGTGCTGTGTATCCGTGGACCCCAAAAGGTTAATAACACTCACCTTTATTCCATTTCCAGAGTGCAGCAACCAACCACCTGTGTGAAATAGGGCTGGGTATTGTCACTGATTTCTAGGATCGATTTGATTCCAATTCACATGGTCCTGATTTGATTCGATCCACGATTTTGATTCAATTTGAACTGGGGAAATTTTGTCTCAGACAGTCAGAAATATTATAATTCTGATCATTTATCAGTACTGACACTTGTGAGACTTCATCAGAGGTGTAAGCATCACAGCAGATGCCAAAGTACCATGTCAAAGTACCTGAGGATAAAAAAGAAAAACATTAAGGAGATTTTTCTGGCCTGGCTTTTTATAGCAGATATCCTTAAAAATATTCTGCAGTAGAACAAAAACAAAAGAAAACCATGCATCAACATATGAACATTACCTGATGCTGCTGAAGTGAAGCAGAGCAAAGTTACAGATGTTTGATTAGAGACACAGCTAAGCGTTTTGCAATTTGCCATCATTTTAAAAAGTTTACATTTCTTCAGTATTGAACAGCAGAAATGGTACTTTCTTGTTGGAGGTCATTAAAAAAACACAAAAAAACACTGGCCGACAGCGCTGTACACAACGGTAGACAGGTGGGTAATAAGAAAGCAAATAATGCAGAAAATTGTGATTTTTAGATGAGAAACTGGTCTTAAAGTACACTTAGAGAGAGAGAGAGCTGTGCAGGAAGTGTGATTTTATTGTGGTGGAAACAAAACAGCAAAAGTAAGAGGAAATTATCAATATATTCAGTTTTAGAATTTCTTATTTTAATAAACAACACTGTCATGTGCAAAACTAGGGTAGCACTTCTGGTGGCAAGAGATGATTTTAGGATGGTACATGCCACCCCATGCCACCCTTCTAGATCCACCCCTGCCCTGGACCCGGTTCTTCCTGTGGAAAGGGAGTTCTTCTGCCCCACCATTACCAAGAGCTTGCTTAAGTGGGATTGCTGGATGATGGGGTTGTAGGGTCTTTATCTTAAAACGTCTCGCGACAGTTGTTGATACGGGTTTGCACTATATGAATGAAACTGAATTTAATCGCTTTAGCGTAAGTCGTCACCTCGTGGCGTCTTCGTAAAACAGAGGAAATAAAACAAAGCGCACATGTGGCTTCTGGCTCCGCCTCCGCCACGTGACAATGAGCTGGCTGAGTCAGCCGGCTCGTCATGCAGCGTCAGTCTGGAGTCGCACAATTATGAAAAGGCAACCTTCCGTTGGAGCTGCACCCGAAGCGGATCTCTCCAACGTCTACCGGGCTTTCCTTCCAAGGCTAACTGAGAGTACCGCTGATAGATGGATAAAAGCCACGACAGAGCTCTTCCTGAGTCTCAACGGTGAAGAGAATGGTATGTGAAGCTCTCCGGGTGGTCAGCTGCCACCCCTGGGTTTTATGGTCTGGTTAAATTGGCGCGGAGGATCATCGTGACTGATCGAGGTTTGAGTGGCAGGTTCCCCCCAATGCATGCTGTCTCCTGCCTGGTCAGGTACCCAGCTGGGGTCGCGGTGACGTTTTGCCGTTTTCCCCCCCCCCCTTTAATCGCTGCATGGCTGTTGAGTTGACACATTGTAACGTGAAGGTAGTGTGCGAAGAGCGCACAGGGACACATCGTCTAGCAAAGAAAACTCCCAAATCACACACGGGCGTAACGTTAGCAGGCTAAATAGCTAGCGAGCTAGCGCTATACTAAGCTAACAAGCTAGTGGAGCAGCAGCAGTGGTAGCTGGCCGATATGAGCAACGCTGTCTTTGAGCTTTTCTTCACCTCACGATCATTTAGACCTGATAATAGCAGCTAGCACTTGTTTAAGACGTTTCCTTTAGCTGTCTCAGATGTCAGACAAGACACACTGTCATTACCACCAACAAGTCAATGCAACCCCGAGTGGCTGCCAAGTCTGCGCAGACGTGCCAGCGTCAGGAAAAGTAAAGTGGTGTTGAAATGCTCTTTTTATTAGCTCAGGTTTTGGTGAAACGCCTGTATTTCTGCCCATGTTGGGCTGGACCTGAACGTTTCAGGCCTGTTGCAGTCATTGTTGTGGTTTTGTTCCTGGAGAGAGTCAGAGAGACAGGGAGGAAAAAATAAACTGGAATTGGTTTTAACATCTGGGTTCGAGCCGAGCGCGTGCGCGACGTCTATTAAAAAGTCGTCATCAATGGAGTGTCGATTCTAAGATTCACCATGGCAACCGTCGAGGAGAACGATGTCCTTGGTAACGTCCGCTGGACTTATATCTGTTTGCGTATTTCTCTGAATATACTCGTAGTGTTTTTCGTGTGTTTAAAACCTACAGGGGCCCTCCAGAAAGTGTCCAGTGTGGGATTCATCTTTTATGATGATCCTGTTGGTTTTTTTGAGGTAATGGGAACTGTAACGATCTTCTAAGGAGGGCGTCTGTTGATCTGCTCAAACCCTTTCGTCTTTGCAACCGAAGCTGTCAGAGTAGACAGACACACACACACAGTATGTTAATATGCCCTCTTTGGAGCAGACGTAGAAGGACATAGGCAGTGTTTGGGTAGGGTGGCTCTTTCTGGTGATCATCACGAAGTAAAGTATGTGTTGATTGTTTTTCAGCTTTACTCTCAGATTTTCTGCTTTATTTTCAAGATGCAAATGAAATATTTTTTAAATATTTTATCGTAATGAGACTCTAATACTCCGTTTGGGGGTTTTGGCCTTTCACCAAAGAAAAATCACCAGGACTGTGATTAAAATATATTTAACCAGCATTTTCTTAAAGTCCAGTTTAATTTACAGAACTTAAACACATCTTTATTGTGTGATAAAAGGAAAGCA